TAGTTTTGGCCCAATCTGCCAATGAAAAACGGGTTGAAAAAGCTAGCCCGCCCCGCTTAAGGATGGGCTAGCGGGTCGGTGGGCTAGCCTGTATACCACAGAAAAAAATTGCAAAAAAATAGAAAAAAAAATTATATTTTATGTTCAAATAATTTTTTTTTGCTACAAATAAATAAATATAACCATATGAAATTAAAAATGCTTACATATTGTACATAATATATGTTCAACAAAATCAAATTACAAACTTAGAACAAAATCAAATAAAAATTAGTCCACTTATACCAAAATCAAAACCAAATTATAAATTTACAAATTATTAATAAACTAAATTTTTTGATAGTCCACAAAACAAGTTCAAACACAATTAATCAACTTTGACTTCCTATTTCAAGAATATTAGAAGCTCTCTTGGAAGAAGTTATCTCTACTTTTTTGTTTTGATCATCTTCATCCTCATCTTCTACATCAAAATAAATTCAACATAAAAAATTATAATAAAAAAATAAAAATAAAAATGTGGGTTGGCGGATTGTGATGAGTCAACCCGCTATTTGGCCCGGCAGGTTGGCAAGCTTGGCGGGTTGAAATGATGGGCCCAGCCTACCAATTTTTGGCGGCCAACCGGCCGGCCCGCAAGTCACAGCCCGTTTTTCCACCCCTAGGCTTGCCATGTGTCGCGACACATGGTCTTCTTATTTACCCCGGTACAGGTCTAAAGAGTGACTCTCTAATTAAACCTCATGAAGCTGATTACATAGCATATGATCTAAAAACTAGTATATATATTATTTATGTAGCATTTTCAAATAAATAGTTGCACTAGTTTATTAGTTATGGCGTGGTATAAGTTGCAAAATTAAAAACCTGAAAGTCCTGGGTTCATTTCCCTTGTAGCCATGAGCCTTGTGCAAAAGGCATGCACAGCACCTTGATATATATACATATATGATCCATTAGATCGTAATCTGTATGTGGTCGTCCTGTTTGATGCCTGGCAATTAATGAATGAGATTATGCAATTGGATTTGAAGTATTGGGAACTTGTTTCATTGTTTTCACTTTAGGGAACACAACAAGATAATGTGACTCTCCCGGGTCCCTTCTAATGATGTTTAAAGCATCAATGCACCAGTGTTGAGATATTGACACTACCTATCTCTAATGCCTCTCTGATGAAAAAGATTGGCTCAAGTTGCTGAGACCAAGTGTTAGCACTTAGCACCCACCTTTCCTTGTTCACTCCTAAAATTTAATTTTGACCAGGGTTTATAGTTGCATTGCGTGCACCATACTTTTTTGCACTTTTTTTCTTCTTAATTTTGTGTGCATTAAGGATATCTCTGACTGATAGAAAATTGAATCTTTGTTAACATGTTTAAAAAACTTAATTATCTACTAATTATGTTGGATAGTGCTAATTGTTTTATTTTATTTTTAATGATATGAAGTTACAAGCTGGAATCCCTTCCATGAACAGCAATCAATGCTAAGGGTGGACACACTTCCATGGAGGATGAGCATGCTATCTCGATTGGTAGCTCCAAACAAATTAGAACAATAAGTGTTAATTTTACAATATTTTGTTTAGGAGACAAGTATGTTCAGGTACTCATCAAAATCACTTGGTAATAAGAATGACTCTATCAGTTATCCATACATTCAATTATAATATGTTATAAATAATTTAATTATAGAAATCTTATAATTTATAAACGCCAAAAGAATTCCTCGAGTCAAAGTAAATAATAGAATAATGCGAAAAGAATTTGGGGCTGTATAAAATGTATGTTACCATATAAATTTGTATGCGATTTGACTTGATACTTCTGATAGAATGGGATGAGATATGTAGATTGAATGGTGCTGGAAACAATAATTTCAGGGGAACAGGTATGTGCAGTAGTTGGGAGTCCTATATCAGACTAGCTTACTGTATAAGGGGCACAATTGAATTGTTATTTCCACGAGTACTGGTGGAACTCAACTTATATTAAATATTAATATTCGATTTTGCTTTCCAAAAAAATAAAATAGAAAAATACTTAAAGTTTTTTGGGTCTCCAATCTTTTATATTGTTGCAGATTTTGCTCTCCAAATTTTTTTTCATGGATTTGCTCCCAAATTTTGACAATGATACAAATTATGTCCCTCCATAGATTGTCTATTAAAATAAGAGCAGAATATTATGCATAATTGCATTTTGTGTCTTTGAAATTTTATTTTGTCATGAATTTTGTCCTCCTAATTGTAATAATATTGCGAATTGTAGCCTTCCATGAGATTATAATTGATATAATTATAAACAACTATTTTGAGTTTATACTAATAACTATATAAGATAACTCATACGTATTAAATAATTTAGTATATTAATATAGATAACATATATATATATATATAATATTTTAATTTTTAAGAAGTGTATTGATGTACTCTATATGAAGAAAAAATATAGAATGAAACGACACTCCCAATATTATCGTGTAGGACTAATGATATGTTGAAGGTATCCACAAACAATTCTACCAATTACAGCTACTCAATTAGCTTTTAGATGTCAAGAAATCTCCATGGGAAGGGTTGCCCAACAAGCCAGAAAAGTGAATCGATGTACTCACTTTTTCTTTTTATATTATTAGCTAGTTTGATATATATGTTAACAAAGGATGAAAATTGGTTAGACAGCTTCATAAGAGCTTATGGTCTAATGTTATTTTCTTAACAAGTGTATCAATTTGTACAAATAATTTAATGATAATCTTAATGGACTTTCGATTGATTGTGAAAATAAATAAAGTAATTAAATAGAGATAAATGTGATAAAAAAAATCTTTTTGGTATTTTTATAAATACTTGAAATGCAAAAATTGATTTTAACACAATAATAAGATATGTTGGAGTTTAATTTTACCAAACTATCTTCTCATGCTTACAAACAAGTTTTAGTCCGGTATCCTTTTCATTCTCATCTACAAAATAACATAAAAAAAGCTTGTAAATTTTTTAAACACTGAAGTTATAAACTAAAGTCAACTCTTAGCAAATTAAGATAAATATGGATTAAATCAAGGGTCCAAGTCAAAGAAAATCAAAACAAATACTTCCATTTATACCACAAAATTAAAGCAAACATGACACTTATCACCTAACTTATATTAGACCTAAGCTAGGTGAGACTCTTTTAGAATATAAGTCAAGTAAAGTGTATTTAGTTACATAAAGTAAGAATCTAGGTCATTTAAAACCTTTTTTAGGTTTAACAATTTGACCTATTTAAATAAAAATAAATATTTTTTTTACTATCGCTATTATTATTATTATATCAAATTTATTAAAATTACAATACAAAAATAATAAATCATAAATTACTAAAAATCTTTCTTTTTTAATTAAGATCACTATTGATAATCTTTCAATATACAAAATTATAATAGTTTTCAAGAACTATAATACAAATACTATTAGTCTTTTAATAATAAAATTATCCTACAATACAAAAAGTGGGACATTATAAATTACAAAATAAATAAATAAAATATTTAATCAACAAATTGATAGGTGAACTTGTCATGATCCACTATTTGATCTAACAAACTAGTTGACTAAACTAAACTAGATAGGTCAGACAATTTACAATGGCAAAAATCTACTTTATTACATAATTATCACCACTGACATTCTCACACATTTTTACCTTCAAATTGTTTTGGGCCAATAACCCAGCCCGGATTTTAGTATGGTCTCAGTCATAATTTGTTGGCATCTAGACCCAATTAATTAAAATGTGAAGATCATATATGATCTTGACAAAATCTTTCCATGATCTATACTTTTTGGAAACATGGAACTTAGAAGATATCCTCGTGTAATTGCATTAACCAGTGCGCACTTAGAGCAAAATAATACTATTAATTAATAGGAAATTGGGAAAACATTCTTTCTATTGAGGCCTTAATCAAAATATGTAATTTTACATCCTCATGTTTTAAGATTTAAACAGAAAAGCTCGCCTATAGTGCAAATTCTTGAGAACCATCATATACGGAACGGGGAAACAGTGATTACTTACTTATACAAGCTAGAAGCCTTTTCAAAGCAATTTGGTTTGATTCAGATTTTCTAATTCCAACAAAGAAGCTCACATAAAATACGAATTGATGTACAACATATGGAAAAGTTCATTGGACTATCTGGCGCAACTCCACTGTCATCGTGAGATTTTTCCAATGTTTCCCAAAAGTAGCATAAAAATATGTTGAGGAGTTTTATGATGTCCACTCTTGCTCCTGTTGCCTAATGATCGTAAAAGTTAACGTATGATATTGCTTAGAAGAACCAGAAAATATTTCCTTTCTCCCTCTAATTGCTAAACTTTTTAACTTTCAAATCATGCAAGTTAACTTGATAGGTTTATGGATGCTTATTCAATTAAGAATTGTGAATGAGTACAAAAATGCCACAGAAGACTCCCACCCTACTGAGATGCGAATATGCAAATGCATCTTACCCAGAAAAAATAATAATAAAATTGATATTATAAAATCAATTTATAAAATAATAAAATTTAATCATATCTCTACTTAATCTGAAATCTGCATCTATTAAAAAAAAAGTAAAATAAGTTGCACTATTTGGAGTATCAATAAATTACCACTAGTTCAACATCATCAGTTGGTAGAGTACTACAAAGAGACACAAACAACATCCACAACAAAAGAATAAAAATTGCTATTTTTTTTAGTTCTCTGTATGTTTTCTCCCCCAGAAAAATGGCTAATCAGTTGTTGTTTATTTTTTGAACACTACAATAATTTCATATATTTTAGACATACTAGCATGTTTCATGACATCAACGTTCACAAAAAATGATAGTTTATAAAAAATAAATAAGAAATATTTATGAATGACTGTTAAAAACAGAGGTAGTGGAATGCTTCCACATACACAGTATGCACTGATTTGTAATTAAATTAGGTACAGAACAAAACAAAACATAGAGAAAAAAAAAGCCGGCCACCTCTATGTCTATGTTCTACACCTTTACACAAATTCATTTTAGCCCCTCACTGCTGTCACAAAATTCCCTTTATTTTTTTCTTTTCCTATCCCCTCTCTCTCTCCACACCCCAAACCCCAAATTTCTTTATAAATACACAGAAAGAGAGTGAGTGAGTTGTGTGTGTGTTGAGTCAGTGGTCACTGGGGTGGCTTCAAGTTGAGTGAGTGAGTTAGTTATGATGTTGGAGATTGGTTCCATGTGGGTGGTGGTGGTCCTTATTGTGGCCATTGCTGCTACTCTTTTGGCTCTAAGATCTATCCTCAAGAATGTTAATTGGTGGCTCTATGAATCCAATTTGGGTGTGAAGCAGTACTCTCTGCCCCCAGGTGACATGGGTTGGCCCTTCATTGGCAACATGTGGTCCTTCCTCAGAGCTTTCAAGTCCAAGGACCCTGACTCCTTCATCTCTTCCTTTGTCTCTAGGTAAGTTAATATTATAGTGATTGTTAGTATTATTTTTTCAATCAGAATTAAAGTTTTACTTTATTAATATACATAATATTAAACATCAATACATATTATTGAAATAAAAAAACTTAAGTACAGTGTGATCATTCTTATTAGAATTATTCTTATAAGAATTAAAATTACCCCTCAATAATAAATGTGTTATGAACTTTGTCATAGTAATCATAAACCATGTACATAGCTTTTTCATGGCCCATTAAGGTAGTTGTTTTCCAGCTCTTACATGCTTGTGTGTAGTGACTAGTGAGTTTAATGGATCCCATGATCCTCAACTGAGGCCACTGACACACACTTGTAACCAAAGCTGCTACTGTTAGTGGTCCAACAAACTCAAGATAATGTACTTTTCTACTTTATGGCAGAAAAAGCTGTTTGGCCTTGTGAAATTACCATAATGCTACCTTTCTGGATTTAAGAATTGTAGTATGACCCTTTCCAAAATTTCCAAACTGAAACAAACAATTGATTCGGAGAAGGGCTGCACTTGTTTGTCATTTTCCCTGTACTTAACCTGCCCTCACTCACACACAGCACAACACTATCTAAAGTTTTCTTGATCTACTATGTGGCAGTGGCGCAGAAGCCACAATTTGTGTGTGGACGGTGTCATGAATCATGATACTCCAACTTTCGTCGTTTCTGCTATCTACCCTTTAGTTAATTATGAACTTTGACATTTTTTTTTATAGAGAAAGGCTTGCAATTTTGAAAAGCTTGGGCTAGAATATGTAAAATGAAAAGAAAAATACTTGTTTCGCTTTCTTCGTTTAATTTAATAGATAGAAATTAGCATCTCTTTTGTATTGCTTTTTATTTTAAATGAAATTTTTTTTATTTAAAATATAAAAATATATTCACACTTTTATTTTAATGTCAAAGAAAATATTTTTAATAATAATAATAATAATGTTTTTTTTTTGTGTGTGTGACTTAATGTAATTAACAGCAAATTTTAAGCACTTTTTTTTTTACATATTTTAAAATTTTAAAAAGTAAAAAAATTAAACACCTGTTATTAGTTAAGTTTTATTTATTTGATTTTTTAAAAAAAGTAATGTAAAGGAATCAAAAATACTACTATTCACATGATAGTCTACAAAAGAAAAAAACAAACTAGCTCTGATGACTTGTCCTCGTTAAATCGAACATATTTAAAGTTTTACTATCTGAAAAGTAAAAACGTAAACCTTTTTAAAAAAATTTGTTTAGACATTTCATCACATAAAAGCGAACTTGACGTTAAAAAATAATCATACAATGCGTGCAATTATAAGTTTGATGTCCTGACATGTACGTCAGGATGTGCAGTCCATGTCAGCATGAGCCATCCGTGATAAAGACATGGTCTATAACATAGTTTTTGAATTTTTTAAATATAATTTTATGATATAATCGAATAACTAAATTGATAATACTGCTTATATTATATGGCAAAGAATTGTCGCCTAGTATTGGCTTATCTCCTAGGAATAAAGTGGAAGAGTTATCATCGGAAATTCCAAGGAGAGAATAATACTTCTCACTTCTCACACTAACTTATTTTTCACCAAGATTTGGCAATACTATAATTCCAAGAATTTCAAGATTGATTCTAATTTTCAAAAATCCAAACATTTGCTCCTGTTTATTTATTTGTTACATATACTTCTTGATCTCCAGGTTAATTGTGATTTTTTTTTTTGTTAAGAACGAAAATTGCTTCAAAGAAGTTTCATTGGTTACTCTTGGTTAAAAAAAAAAAAAAAAAAA